CCCACCCTCCCATATCTTGCCTCGCTCCATCATTACTAATTATTTTCCCATTTTCTTGCAGATCCCAATAAACGTCTCGCGTTGTTCAAGAAACTCGATGAAGCCAATAAACTACGTGAAGTAAAACCACCTCCAAAGCGTCAGCCTCAAAGAGTTGATTATTTTGCCGGTGAGCTATAAATCACTGTTTCCGGTCTTGCGCTTTTCTTGCGTTGGAGATTTCTAACGCAAGCTATTTCGCGCTGAGCTATTTTAAACTACGTAGCATTACCTTCAACCATACAGCCTCTTTCACCAAATGTAAAGAGCTCGATGCCTTATTTGTGTTTTGCCGCGATCGTGTTGTTTTCTAGAACTTTGATTCGCTGTTTTTTCTCGCGCAATGGGATTGGTTTAGCAGTGCCGTGACTTTCACGTGACCGTTTCTGCGTCGTGTTTCGGGTATTTGATTGGATGGAAAATGAAAAACCTCGCGCAATGTGATTGGTCTGGCAGTGCTTTCACGTGACCGTTTCTGCGCCGTGTTTCGGGTATTTGATTGGATGGAAATGAAAAACCTCGTGCAATATGATTGGTCTGGGATATGGTCATGACCGCGTTCGTGCTGCGAGCTTTTCACGTTCATATTCTAATATACCTCTTACTTTCCCAGCACGTGATTCTTCAATGTTACCTTCGGGATCCAACACTCCGACATTAGAACGACAGGCAAAAGCGCAAATGACCTACAGGTAGGCTAATATAGTAGTTCACTTCAATACCAGTTGATTAAAATGTCAGGGGTGTTGGTTGAATAGCTGAATGTTATAACACACAACCGAGACTAAGACTGAGCAAAGAGAACTCGAAACTGGAGTTATTGGACTCAATGCACGTATGCAAGACGGAGCTTGGACTCTCAACCTTTAAGCGTCAAGTCCATCCAAATACTATTATTTAAATTATTAATAACTATTAAATTATTGTTTCTGATTGTTTCTAGTTGGGTGTACAATCAAGGTGTGATACATGTTGACCAAGATGAACCAGGACGGCTTGGTTTGACTAAAGACTACTCTACTGAACCTACGAAAACCAAGAAATCACCCGGCAAAAGATACCCTTCCAAGTCCAGATCACCCATCAGTCTGCCCCAGATGGATCCAGTAGCCTTAACTGGTAGAAATGTACCGCTTGTGGTATGTAATAAATCCTCTCCCCTCCCCTGAAGGAACGTCATACGCCTGCGATACTTTTCGACTTCTCTAGTGAGACTTCATGCGCCCGCACCTTTTTCGATGAAGGAGAAGTGATAAGTCTCGCGGGCGCATATCTTGATTGATTGTGGTCTGGCCGTACAAGGTTTAGTTTGGTCCTCTCTTTGAGCTTATACACTTGCTTGTCTTCGACCTGTTGCATTGCTGCATAATACTGATTTGTAAACACGATGCGCGCGCACCTCAGTAGGCAAAACAAGCGAAGAACTGTTTGAATGAATAAAAAGACGCAAATAAAAAAATGTAAATTTTCAGTCAGGTAAAAATGGAACTGAACGGACGGTCAAACTCAATGGCTATAAGAAAATATTATCGTTTGGCATGCGCGCGCATCCCTGTAGGCAAATGAATCTCATAGAAATGTAAAGACCGGCTACTAGTCAAGGAGAGGTATGGGTGTGCCCTCTGAACAGTCCTATTTATTGATTTATCTTTTACAGTCTAGTCCAGCCCTCATACGAGAGCAAATATCAAAGGACAGTACACCGACGACCAGGCGTTACTCTTCTGCATCAGAACGTAAGGACACGAGTAGTTTTATATACTTTATCTAACCACCTTTCCTAGCTTTAATCTCTCTTTTAATTCATTTATTCAGTTAATTTAAATTAACGTACTTATAAGTGTTTTTAAACATTCTTTAATTAACGCTTGTGCTCTTGTTCGCTGCTCCTTTTTATTCCTCTTACTGTAGAAATCCACTTTCCTCCAATTAAAACTTACTCCGTGCCCAACCTTACAGCCAGGTCGGCGGCATCAGAAGCCAGCAGTCTCAGCCCTGAAAAGAGTAACAGCGCAGGCGCAAGAATGACCAAGGAAAGAAAACGAAGATGACGACAAGTTTCTACAAACATCTGGGGTCAGCAGCACTACTAGAGTAACAGCGCAGGCGCAAGAATGAACAAGGAAAGAAAACGAAGATGACGTAACAAATGTCTACAAACATCTGGGGTCAGCAGCACTACCAAAGAGTAACAGCGCAGGCGCAAAATTAGCCAAAGAAGGAAAATGAAGATGACGTCGAGTGTCTACAAACATCTGGGGTCAGCAGCACTACCAAAGAGTAACAGCGCAGGCGCAATAGTAGCCAAAGTACTCTGGACAAGATTAACGCGCAAGCTCAGGAGCAGTCAATGAGAGATTCACATAATTCACCAATAAAGCAGTGTTTTATTTGTTAACGAATCAATGTATAATTGTAAATATTTATTTAAAGAAATGATATTCAGAGTTTGTACTAAGAAAGGTAAGAATTTCGTGTTTGAGTAATATACTGTATTTTCTTTGATCGTCTTGGACAATTGAATTTTCTACTAAAACAGAATTACCAACTGATAAAATTATCTTGTCAAATAAATGTAATTCTATTATATTTTTTGTATTGTGTGTATTTTAAAATATTTCATTTCTATAATTTATAAAAATAGATACTTTTTATATTCTATCTATAATCTAAATAAGTCTTTGTTGAATTATTTCAGTTAAATCAAAGTAGAATTTTCTTCGTTTGTTACGCGCGCCTTACCCAATGTCTTCAAATTCTGGTGGAAACAAACTACGCATGCGCGTTCGGGAACACACAACCTGTGAAACACGTGACCTGCAAAAACAGGAAACAAAAAAACCCAAGTTAACCCAATATTTCAGGATACCATTTAAAAACTATTCTAAAACTAAAACTAAAACTATTGGTGCTACCCATTTCAGAACGTAATTCCCTAGAGTATCATTTCTTTGTTTAACGGTTGCACATTGGAAGACAAATGAATATGGATACACCTCAAACAAAGAATATTATAGATCCCTTGCAGCACGTAGGAAGGCAGCTCAATATGGAGGACATAACAATAGGTTTCCATTTCTCAGGAGATCAAAATTCTTGTTTTGTCCTCCAAATTGAGCTCCTTTGACGTCACATGCAAGGTTTCTATTCTCAATAGAATGACACGTGGTCTGTAGTCATGTCATGAAGACGGATTAGGTCTATTACCGAGGGTAATAAGACTTACCACATTCAAAGACAAGAAGGCCTTGGTTACTGGTTGACACTTGTTCTCCAAGCTGTAACGTACACACAGGACACACCGCGCTACGAAACATACAAAACAAACAAGTATTTAATTGGTTGAAGAAGCAAAAGAACTACATGTAATACACAGAATATTAAATAAAGAACTCACTCGGCGAGATGTATATTGACGCCCCAGTTTGTTGCTGGAAGAAAAGAAGACTTTTAGTTAAGGAATGCTATAAGTCTTAGAGCGATTTCCATTAGCTGTACTCGGTAAGAATGAATGGGGTTAAGAGTGCGCATGCGCCATTTACTGACCTGCATCTTCAATGGTCTTGACACGTGACAAGGAAGTGATGGAAGCGACAGAACCGTCCTGTGAGGGGAAAAACAGTTCGAGTACATTATGCCTGGGTAGCGAATAGCACGAGGGAAGTACAGTCAAGTTCACTTACTTTGCGTGGCTTCGATTCTTGTTCCTGAATTCTTTGGTAATTCATCTGAAAGATTAAAAATGAAAAAACGATTGACACTAACCTACAAACTCTAATCTTACCGATACCCTGAAACAACCTCTGGGCTGATCTAAATCAGGACAGATCAGCTAAGAAATTAGCAAGTTGGATTTTTCGGTAGCGGAAAACTGTATAACTTGGAGAAGTCCCTCTAATCAAGTGAGAGACCTAACAAACTCTACTCACATGTGATGCTAAGTCCAGAAATCAAATCTGAGACCCCAGAAGTGAGAGGTGAGTGCAATGCCCCTGATTCCCACTGCATAACTTGCGCAAAGCTTTAATCAATATCCTTACCTCGGGAGTAAGAACTCCTGCTCGCTTAGACCAGAAGTACGTATCCATTTTCGTCAGCATTTGATGGATGAGATTACTATATACATAAATAATACATAAATAATACATGGAATCAGAATCTGCTGACACAGCACCTTGACAACATTCCAGACAACATGCATTTCCTTGAGTATACACTCAATTGAAGAATCGTTGTCGGGTCCAGAAACAGAGAACATAGAAGCTGAGACCGAAATGGCACATTGGAAGTGCGTTAATTAGGTGCAAGTTGTGACCGGCGACCCGTGGCATCATCTACTGTTTTAATACGCGTTTGGCATTCTAAACCGACTGCATGGATGGCGCAAATGAATAAATTATAATATAATTATGTCATTTCCCATGTGCCATTTTGGTCTCAGCTTTTATATTCTATGTTTCTGAACCCGACAACGATTCTTCGATTGAGTGTATTAGTCAAGCAGTAACATTTAAAATACAGAGATTAGAAATGAAAGAATCTTATTCTCAAGGGCATGACACGTGGAATGAAATGGGGAAACTGTCGTGAAGTCTCAAGTATTTCTAGTAGTGGATTGTTATTCAATAGACCTATCCCGAATTCGCTTGGATGACCACGAAAACAATGGTTGGAAGTCGAGACTGAACTTGATTCTTTTATTCATAAAGTTCAACCTCGACTTGAAACCATTGTTTCGTGGCCAGTCAAGCGAATTCGGGATAGGTCTATTGCTTTTCTTACTATGATCCATTATATCGTTACTTACCCCTGTTCCTTCTCAATAACGATCCCCATGATACATTTATGGTAAAAGTTAACAGGGAGGGACATCTCTTGGTAAGGGACTTCCTGGAGTAATGGCACCAGACGCGAAGCCCCAAGCCGTTTGAGAGCCAAATGGACCACATTCTCCCAATTGATATCAGGTGACCAATCAGAATCCTTTATGACTGAGCATGCGTGTTGCTGATTCTGAGATGTCTTTGAAGCTACTAGTACCAGTAATGTCTTCCACTCGTCCAAACATTGCGGGGTGGGGCCTGGTGAGAATTAGTTATATATAGAAGCTATTGTTAGAATTAGTTGAAGAAAATGTCTTTTTCATCGTAGAAGATCTCGGACATTGTGTGTCAATAATATTCAATGAAAGTTTTATTTTACATTTTCAGCAGCTCGAGACTATTTTAGGTCATACTCACTCACCCCATGGTTTATCTGTATCAAGGTTGGCCATGTCCCCTAAAGACACGATGACTTGAATGATGGGATTCCTGTGGTTCATGGCCGCGAAGAGTCTGAGCACCCCGGCCCAATAGCTGAACAATGACACAGAAGGCAAACGAATGTCAATCAAATATTTATCGTTGGTGAATAACTTTTTGGAATGGTTGTCATGGATACTGCTGCTCTTACCCATGCCTCCAACAGATGTCGAGGAAAACAGACATTTCACTAATAACTCTTCTCTGACAAACAACATCTAACAACTGTTGAAGTTGCTCTTCCTGTTTCCATGGCAACTTGTGTGATCCTGACCTGTAAATAGCCAATCACAGCAAATCATTAGATTGTGTCAAACATGTGACAAACAAGTAAAGGTCAAAGGTCAATCACCTTGGTAACCCACAGTGGCAATGCCGCTGACCATCAGGATTGCTGGCAATTAATGCGCTATGGAACCAGTTTCTTGTAAACTCGAGGTCGCTACAAAGTGTACTAATCTTCTGGGTGCTAAAAATGAAAATGAAAACGTACGTCCTGGTCAGTTTGTTGTCTTCTTGCTATTGCTCCAATAACCTTATGGCATTTACTAAGTGAATAAAACCATATGAAAGCAGCTGGAAAAGGAACACAGGAATGGGAACTGAAAACTAGTAAACTAATTTTTGAGATAAAATCAGTAAATTAATGAAATTTCTTTGCTAAGATATGCTTTAATGGCTAGTTAACATATATCCATAGAATTTGAGCAAAGAAAAGCAGTTTTTAAAGTGTTTCGATCCGGAGATCCACCTTACCGAAGTCCAGTCCAAGGGCCGTTCCAGGTTACGATTCCTGATTTTCCAATTTAAAAAGTGCTCAAAATGACAATTTTAGTAAAAATACAGATAACTCAGCAATTTAACTACAGTTTGTTGTAGTGAACATTAAAATTTCACTGCATTAAAAGGTAAAATTCTTAAATCATTTAATAGCCTTATACCAACATGTTCCCATAGCAACACATTCTCGTACCGTCTTTCTCTGACGTCCACGCCCCATCGCAGTAGCTGGTCGATGTAGTACACAAAGTACTGGGCACTAGTTTGTGGGTCACGTGACATTCCGTGTCGGCAAATCTCCATGACTTCCCATGGCAACACATCCGGGTACATTCTGACGCAAGTCATTAGTGTCTCTCGTCCACTGAGCTCGTACAAGCTGAATTAAACAAAGAATTAAGTAAACTGTTGAGTTTTAATCTTAATCATTTGATGTAAATTAATCATATTTGTCATTACTTTACTAGATGCAGCAACAGCGAGTGTTGGTACTCAAGTATCCCATCATGCAACACATGCAGGGCTCGGGTCACGTTTCCTTCCTTTATATGATTGCTGACGTCGTCTTGATTCAAAGACTCTGAAATAAAATGAATTTTCAACATTTAACTCGTGCGTTTTCTTGGTATATATTTTTTAATACATTATGACTTCATAATAAACCTTAAATAAAATGCACAGGTACAGACCATGCTATGACGTCATGCGTGTATTTATCAAAGAATAAACGTGTGTAAGAAGGGAGTGCATTGATATACAAACCTCTAATACACTGCAGTAGTACAGACCAGCTCGCATCCTTGTGTCCTGTTGTCACGCCTAATGTACCTCGAATATCTTTCACTCGTAACAGTTCAAAATATCTTTTGATAAAATAAGCTCTGTCCCAGTCTCTTTTCTTCTCACCTTCAGCCTCCTGGGAGGCTTGGGAAAGAGAAGTCATTAATATATGTTTTAGAAACGACTCATGATTCCATGAACATGAATCACACGTCCATTCAGTACGTGTTTCATAATTTGATAGTGAAGTCCCATTAGAATTTTCCCGTTTGATATTTCGCTCATGTGAGACTTCTCTAGAACTTTCCATATCAACGTAACCATCACGTGACTGCTCTTTATCACCTATGACGTCAGCATTGTCACGTGATTGGTCTATGTCACGTGGGCTTTCCCTTGCATCTCTCATGCTGTCAGATTGCAGTGTATTATTAAGGGAACAAATCTCTTGATCACGTGAGATGACGTCAGTAGTAGATTCACCATGACAACTAGAGCTCTTCACTTCTATTTTAACTTCAGTGTAATCGCGAGAACAGTCCTTTTCATCATGCGTTCTTTCTTCAATTTCCTTTCTAACAAGAACAGAACTATCACGTGAACATTCTTCTTGATCACGTGCATACATTCCTGTATCCAGACACATTTGAGTTAACATACAAACATCAGCATATGAAGTCTCGTTTAGCCAGTCTTTCAGACATACACCAGGGCTTTGTGATGAAGATGACGATTTGTTACATGAGTCAAGCGCTCTGTGTAGGACTGGTATCCATTCTTGCAGCACGTGACGTAATGCCTTTCTATTGTACAGCATCTTTGGTGCTCGAACTTCCTCTCTGTGAAATAAGAACGAAACAAACATGTCTAGTACAAAAACTCACCCTCTTCATTTGGTACAATATTTGTTTCTAAGTGTCACCAGTAAAGAAAGAAATGATACTAAATGGAATAACACACGGTCTGTTTAACCATAGCATTTTTCTCTTGCATCCTCCAGAAGCTAATGCTCAAAAATCAAAATCACGATGTATGTAATTTTTCAATGTCAACTAGTGCTGCCTTTCTAGGTGTCTTTCAGTCTGTGTGTCTGTGTGTCTGCCTCACTGTCTGTCTCTGTCTCTCTGTCTCTTTGTAGATCATGTCTTACACCACGGGTTTCCAAAACTCACCTGACTTTAGTTGTCACGTTTTCTAGCTCTTCAACATTAGCAGGGCAAGGCACCTGAACCACCTCTTCCTTTTCCTCTTCCTTAACCTCCCCTTCATTTTGGTCTGGGAGACCCTGGGTTGAATGAAAATCAAAGGGGTTGCCGGCACCATTGTCTCCTGGGGTTAGTTTCTTCTTTATCAAGACTTTTGCTTTAGATAACATTGCAGGGATTGCAGGAGGGAGCTCTGAGAGAACATCATTCAGAGTGGGTGCAATAACATAAGATATGGGAGAGGCCCTCTCAGATTGGGACCTTTTAAGCTTCATTTTTGTGTCTTCGTATGATGAGTATGAATCCGAACGCATTTTCATTTCCTGTTGTGTGCCAGACTTTTCTGAAAAGATGAATTATCATATTATCTCACTCAACATCATTAGCATTATCACCACCATGATCATGTATCTATGTATCATCTTTATCATTACCATCAGCAGCAGCAGCACTCATCGACATGTATCATCACCACCACTATCACTATCATCATGTATCATCATCATCATGTATCATCATGTACCATCACCATCATGTACCATTTTCATCATGTATCATTATCATGTATCATCTTCATATATCATCATCATCATGTATCATTTTCATCATGTATCATTATCATCATGTATCGTCATCATGTATCATCATCATCATGTATCATTATCATCATGTCTCATCATCATCATCTTGTACCATCATTGTCATAATGTATAATCATCATCATGTATTCTCACCATTATCATCCCAATTGTCTTCAGTACATCCATCACCTTTATCATCATCATCACCACCACCATCACCATCATCACCAGCACCAGCACCACCACCACCACCACCATCATCATCATCAACACCATGCACTAGTATCACCATCCTATATACCGTCATGTCTCAACATCAGATACTTACTTTCAGGGGATTTATTTGAAGGTGTGTTTATATCTGCAAGAAAAACCACAGAAAGAAACTGATTATTCATTAAACAATCAAAGCATAAATTACAAGTATCTTTACATTGAAGTACCCACCTACAGTTACAACCCTTCTCTTTTTCTTCCTTTTTTCTCTAACTTTATCCTTGGTTCTCCTAACACAAAATATACATGAGAGTAAATATTTGATTTACAAACTAAAACGATTCTCCCAAACAGACATATAAGGTACAGTACCTTGTACTAATATCCACACCATCCGAATCGAATTTAGGTTCATTTTCATCAGATAAATCCATGACTCCATCAGACCCAGGTGCACTTAAGCTAGCTGTCTTTCTTGGGACGCCAGGGGACGGCATTTCTGAGACACTCAAATCTGCCCCACCACTCATCTCCTCAGTAGCTGGTCCCTCATTTGTTACAGTTTCCATTCTCTCATCCTCTCCTCGTTCCTCAGTAAAATCTTCATCTTTCTTTGTCTCCTTTGTTGGAGAATCTGCGGCCTTTTTCCTAAAGCTTGGTAGCCTGAGTAAATTAGATTTTTGTCTCTCTCCTGCAAATTTCTTTGCCTTTGCAGCAACAGAAAACAGAGCATTTTCAAAGGAAAGCTCTTTCTTATCCTTCTGGAAGCCACTTGCTTGTTCACCATTGACGTCACCTTGATTGACTGACAGGTTGTCATCATCCTCCAATCCTGAGTCCATATGGTGACTACAGATATCACTGTTGACACTCATGGTTTCAGGGCTGTCAATCATATTCCTATCACCGTGGAAACCAGGTGGCTTGTCTGTGAACATGTTTGTATTTTCCTGGAGAAGTTGTTCTAGTTCTTGCAAGGATTCTACAAGTTCCTGTGTGACAAAATTATACCACGATAAAATCAGTGATGTTATTATTGACGCAGGGGTGCAATAACACTAGTTACATACCTGAGAATCTGGTTGCTCTTGGATACCCCTTATTAGTGATGTTACCATGGAAACAGGGACCCATTCTCTGGCAGTGCCTGGGATAAGATAGGACTTGCATTCAAGGGCAACCTACAGCAAATATAAGCTTAGAATCAAGAGGATGAAGACAAAAAAGCATAAAGAGATGGAAAATGTAATACTAGAAGGAAGTGAGAATGACTTGCCTTAATGCATTGATTGAAGTCACTGATTTCAAAGAGCCGAGCAACAGTCTCTTTGACTGTCAGCACACCATACCAAGTCATGTGACCCTCACTGTGGTATATGTAGAATTGGTTCCCATGGCAACAGACATCTGAGATTTCTGTAACAGAATGAAATGAGATTTTAAAATGGGTATGACTGAATGAATAATTAATGGTTTAAGTGGATAATGGTTTTGATACATAGGTATGCATGATGATGATGATACATGATGATGATGATACATGATGA